ATATAGGTAAACTTCCCACAAAGTACAAGACAAGCCACGCAGCAGAAAAGTAGAAATAGGCAGTTCTCGGTAGGACAAATACAAATGGCTAGAAAACACAAAGCATTTTTCAGTCTCCCTGATCCAAGAAGGTGTCTTCAGGTGAGATTGGCAGAGAGGACGTGTTAGCCAGAGCCTGAGGACACGGCCCGGTAGCCGCAGGAGTGGAGGGCAGCAGCCAGCACTTTGCATATGTGTTTCCTGGGCCCTGCGTCCCCCCCTAGGAGTGTGTCCCCGTAAACACTCGCTCAGTTGCACGGAGATGGCCACACTTGTTTACTGCAGCTCTGTTCCCGAAAGCAAAAATTGGAGAGCGCCCATCTGTGGGGAACTGGTTATGTAAACTGTGGAATGCTGGAGTCATTGAAAAGGATAAGGTGGGTCTGAGTGTGCTGACAGGGGAGCACATTCCTGACAGATTGGACATCCCATTGTTTAAAAATCCTTATGTATGCCCTGGCCGGTGTGGCTCAGTTGGTCATCGTCCTGTGCACCAAAAGGTCAAGAGTTCAGTTCCCGGTCAGGGCACATACCTAGGTTTCGGGCTCAATCCCCAGTAGGGGGCATGCGGGAGGCAGCCAATGGATGTTTCTCCCTCTCCCCCCCCCCCTTTTCTCTCTTCCACTCTCTCTAAAAAATATCAATAATAATAGTAATAAAAAGGAATCTCCACTCCATCAGCTGAAAACTTAAAAACAGCCCTCATGCATCACAGAAGGCACTGGGGGAGCAGACACACAGGACGAGAGGGGCCACTCACCCGTGGGCTCATGGGTGGAGAGGATCTGCCATAAGCTGCTCCGCACCGTGTTTTTCCCAGCAGGCCTGGAGTGCTCTCCTACTTCAAAAAGCAGTTACATTGCTTTTCTTTAAAAGGTTAAAAACAAAAAGGCCGCAGGTGAGGGCTCTGGAGGCAGCCTCACCTGTCCGTGTTGGGGGTCTCACACCAGGGCAGGAGTCCCAGGTCTGCACTGGGAGCTGCGGCCTCACCGTGCCCCAGTCTCCTCACCTTTAAAGGCTTCGTCTTACCCACCTCAAGGGCCAGCCAGGTGAGGAGTAAATGGGGCTGGGACACGCCACAGGTCTCAGCACCTGCCGGTCCCCTGTCCCACCCCATGATCTGTGATTTACCCTCCAGAGTCCCCTCAGGGACCCCTGAGGATGGGGTGCAGTTTGAGCCTAAAACAGCAGGAAGGCTGCACAGTTGCTTCCTCCTGACCCTTCAGAGCTTCTGCACTGATTGCATCTCTGGACCTGCCAGCACCTCCTCCTGCCCCACAGGGAGGCAGGGAGGACAAGCCTCATCTTTAGCGCTCAGGACACTCGCATGCCCAGGGTCCCCCGACTGGGTGGAGGCGGGGGGAGCTGGAGCTGGTGCTCACACCCCACTCCTGTCTTCACCCCCGCCTTTTCAGTGATGAACATCCCAGTCACCCCAAGAAAAAGGTGAGGGCCTTAGTGTGGGGCTGAGGAAGATAAAGTGTCCTTCCTCTTGGCCTTGGCACCTCCTCCCAGCAAGTGCTTAGTGGGCGTCCAGGCAGCCATTCAGCAGACGAGGCTGGGTGGCTGCCCCGAGGAGCCCACTGTCCAGGCAAACAGGACAGCAGGAGGAAGGAGGCTGCTGGGTAACCCTGCAGAGCTGGCCCTGACTCCTGAAGCTGTGCTCTGTGCGGCTCTGCCAGCAAAGTAAACAGACAGGGCCAGCCCCTCCGGGCTCCCAGCTCAGACAGCAGCATGCCTCTGGCAGTGGAGACTAGACACGCAGGGTTCTCAGCGCACTTAGTGAGGGAGTAAGGTCAACAGTGTCTATTTGCCCAACTTGTAATCAAAGATAGTGCCACTGATACTTCACTCTCTGGGGGAGGGGCTAGTGTTTATGCCAAGTCCAAACAGTGAGTGATGCACAGTGTCATTCCCAGCAGTGGTGTGTCTCCTTGTTTATCATAATCACAATATTGATCAGGAGGAATGAGCACGTGTTTATATGTATGGGAAGTTGACGAGTGCAGCGGGTAAGCCCAAGGCCTGTATAAACCTCACCATCACTGTGTTCGGGTTCTCTAGAGAAACAGATCCAACAGCATGTGTGTGTGTGAGTGTGTATAGAGAGCGAGGGAGGGAGACTGGGAGTCTTAGTTTAAGGACTTGGCTCAAGCAGCTGTGAGGACTAGCGAGTCTAAACTATAGGAGAGGCCAGCAGGGTGTACCCCCAGGGAAGGTGATGTGGGAGCCCAGATGCAGTCGGGAGACAGAATTCCTCCTTCCTTCGGGCCTGCTCCCATCACAGAGTTGTGGTTTGAATGTTAATTACCCCTAAACACCTCCGCAGCAACATCGGGACTCATGTTTGACCAAAAACGGTACCATGGCCTGGCCAAGTAGGCACATCACATTAACCTCAGCCGCTGTCAGCGTGTTAACCTGAGCTCCGTTGTCTCGCCTATAAAGTGGGGATAAGAGACCTGCTGGAAAGATGGTTTTGATGATGTAAAGTACCCAGTGGAGCACCTAGCACACAGCAGGCATGTGCTGAGAGTGTGATTGGTGCAGACACACAGCCGTTGCAGGGAAGTCAGGGTTAGGTTCCCGTTCCAGTCCCTCCACGTATCCAGGTGACCTTGGGTAAATCCCTGAGCCTCACCGAGCTTCAGTGTCCTCACCTTTCAATGGTGGCAGTTACTGTCTTCTAGAGCGATAGGAAATGATACAGGCATAGACACTAAAGTGCTTGGCATTTCTTGGGGGCTTGATAAATGCTTATTCTTTCCCCTGCCCTCCTAGGGGTAGTAAAGGTAGGAGACATTCGGGGGTGGGGGCAGGCAGGGTGTGGCTAGAGGGGAAGTTCAGAGGCAGGGCTTAGGGCCCACATGATGGCCATTGGGCAAGCAAGTGCATTTCCTGAGAGCAGAGGAGGGGCTAAGAGAGGATGCGCTGGGCAGGCTGAAGAGAGCAGCTGTGCAGGCAGCGGCCCTCAAATAGCAAGCCCAGGGCACTTCTCCCGGCTTCCTGAGGGGCACTGAGGCAGGGGTCCCCAGTGTGGGGAGGGCCTCTCAGAACTGGCCCCCACCGGAGGTCATGGGAGGTGATGGAACCTTGAGAACCTGGTCCCTAGAATGGGTCATCGCACCACCATTACGTTCAGGTAGGATGTGATGGTGATTTGAGGATGAACCCTTAAGCCAGGTGGGCATCCAGGAAGAAACCTTTATCTTTGGGAAACCCACCCCACCACCTCAGTATCTCCGATACACCCAACAAAAGGCACCCCTGCGGGATGCGTGCCCTGCTTGCTGCCCACCCAGCGCCGCTCACCCTGCCTCTCTCTGCCTGGTGTACCAGTCATTTGTTTCCTTATTCTTCTCAGATAGGCAAGGGGTGCCTTGTCCTGTCGCCCTGAGACCGCCAGGCCTCCCTGACTGCCCTCCCAGGCTGCAGTCTCCCTGCAGCTCCTTGCCCAGGAGATGGAGGAGCCCATTCTCCTCATCTGTGGGCTTGGGGGTTTCCCTTTGGAATGACTGAAGGTTCAGAGCTGAGGCTCTGGGACAGGGCAGGCAGTTTTAGGGACCAGGAACTTGTGTCACCCCTGCCTCATCTGCCAGGGAGGGCAGAGGCGTGGTCCTCTGCTGTGGTCTGGTTGTGCTCCCCTTCTGTATCCAGGATGGGCCAGGCGGCAGCTTTCCTCCTGTCACCCCTGGACCGGGGTTGCGGGGGGAGGAAAGGGGGCAAGGAGAAAGGGGGAGAAGTCACTCCACAGTGGGGAAAATTAGATCTTTTGCGGAGTGGAAAATGTTACGTCTGGGCTCGGGTCTCCCTTAGAGCTGTCTGCTCTAAGCCCCAATTCTCTGATGTGGGATTTGGACCCTGCCCCAAGCACTTGCTTGGTCATCAGGAAGACAGCAGAGCAGCAGATGGGCAGACTGGCGTGGCAGAGGCAGGACAGGGAGGGTCAGGAGGCTGGGGCTCAGTGCAGCGCCCCTTTCCAAGGCCAGGGCTCACTCCTGAGTGCACAAAGGAGAGATTCAGAAGAGACTCCCAGCCGTTCTTACTAAGTCCTCTGACGGTGTGTATGCCCTCAAGTCATTGCCATGCCAAGTGCTCTCCTTGCTAAGTCAGCACCTGGTTCAAACATCTGTACATTTCATAGAAAAACACTGGAAATTCAGTGTGCTGCCCAGCCAGTGTGGCTGACACCTCCGCCCTTCCTGTGTGAGCTTGTTTCGCGGGAGTGAACTTGAGCTTGGGAGTGCCTTTACAAGCATCTGTGCCGTCCATGCAGGAATCAGACTTCCCAGGTCTGCGCTCTGCCATCTTCTCAAAACACACTCCACACCCCACGTGGGCCCCTTCCTAAGGATAATCTGAAGAGACTCTGCTGTCCTATCAGGTTTGGCTCAGTGGATAGAGTGTCCACCTGCGGACTGAAGAGTCCTGGGTTCGATTCCAGTCAAGGGCACATGCCCGGGTTGTGGGCTCAATCCCCAATAGGGGGTGTGCAGGAGGCAGCTGATAAATGATTCTCTCTCATCATTGATGTTTCTGTCTTTTTCCCTCTCCCTTCCTCCCTGAAATCAATAAAAATATTTTTAAAAAATAAAATATCAATATCTGCTTCCTCCCCCTTCCTCCCCTCCTCCCAAAACACAGCCATCCCTTCATACCCTCTCCTCTCCATGGGCTCGGCCAGCCCAGGAAGGCGCTGCCTCACCCCCCACAGGCAGTGCCATTTCTGGGATACCTGCTGTGCCAGCTCTGGGGGGATGCTTTGGAAACTTTGCCAGCCTCCCAGAGATGCTGTCAGCCCCACATTCCAGACGAAGAAACTGGTCTCAGAAAGGTTGGCCCGCATGGCACACAGCTCTTACGTGGCTGAGCCAGGGCTGTGTGAGTGAGAAACGGGCCCAGCCGGCAGAACGTGAAGCGCCCGTGTCGTGCCGTGTGTCTGCAGACCTCTCCCGGAGCGCCTCCCCACCCTCGCTGCTGGACCAGCTGCAGACAGGCTGTGACGGGGCCCCGGGCAGCAGCCTCAACATGGAGTGCCGCGTGTGCGGGGACAAGGCGTCGGGCTTCCACTACGGCGTCCATGCGTGCGAGGGCTGCAAGGTAGGGGCAGTGGGTGCTGGCTGGCCAGCAGGGCGGTGGCCACATGGTGAGTTAACTTGCCAAAAAGGCTTTCCCTGCCAGGGGCGGGTCCCTGATAATACCCACGGCGGAATTCCTGCCTGGGCAGCCGCCAGGGCCTTGGGCTCATTCCAAGCCTCAGCTCTGGGCCTGCTGGAGAGGAGGGTTCCCTGTCAGGGCTGCCCTGCCAGGCACCTCAGCCGCTGACCTGGGCTCCCTGGCCTCTTGCGCCCCCTGGGGACCGGGCTGGGAAAGACGGGCGGGACAGAAAGGGGCGGGTCTTAGGCCGGGGCTTCTTCCTGAGGTCCGGTTCCTGCACCTCTAAGCCTGAAGGGGGCTCTTTGAGGGGAGAAAAAAGAAATGTTGCATTTCTTTTGGGTTCTTCCTCCTCACCGCACACCCATCACATTTTCACATTTTATTAAACCACTACCTAGGAAATACACAGAACCAGTACATTTATGAATAAATCAAGTTAGTCATGATACAGTTTTGTTACCAAATTAACAAAAGCATATTTAATATGCATAATATGGCATATTATTTTAATTATTTCAGGAGTTTTAAAGTTGTTTACCTTCTCCCACTTTCTTCCAACAAAATCCCCTCCCGCCCATTTCCAGAGTTCAGGAGTCTCTGCATCGTCATGCACACTGGGGCCCCAGCCCCCCATGGCCAGGGTTCCCCAGCTCGCTCCCTTCCCTGTGCCCTTTCCTCCCTGTAACCATCCTCAGGGCTTCTTCCGGCGGACGACCCGCATGAAGCTGGAATACGAGAAGTGGGGAACCATGGGCCAGGGTTCCCAGCTCGCTCCCTTCCCTGTGCCCTTTCCTCCCTGCAACCATCCTCAGGGCTTCTTCCGGCGGACGACCCGCATGAAGCTGGAGTACGAGAAGTGGGGAACCATGGCCAGGGTTCCCCAGCTCGCTCCCCTCCCTGTGCCCTTTCCTCCCTGCACACCATCCTCAGGGCTTCTTCCGGCGGACGACCCGCATGAAGCTGGAGTACGAGAAGTGGGGAACCATGGCCAGGGTTCCCCAGCTCGCTCCCTCCCTGTGCCCTTTCCTCCCTGCACACCATCCTCAGGGCTTCTTCCGGCGGACGATCCGCATGAAGCTGGAGTACGAGAAGTGGGGAACCATGGCCAGGGTTCCCCAGCTCGCTCCCTCCCTGTGCCCTTTCCTCCCTGCACACCATCCTCAGGGCTTCTTCCGGCGGACGACCCGCATGAAGCTGGAGTACGAGAAGTGGGGAACCATGGCCAGGGTTCCCCAGCTCGCTCCCTCCCTGTGCCCTTTCCTCCCTGCACACCATCCTCAGGGCTTCTTCCGGCGGACGACCCGCATGAAGCTGGAGTACGAGAACTGGGGAACCATGGCCAGGGTTCCCCAGCTCGCTCCCTCCCTGTGCCCTTTCCTCCCTGCACACCATCCTCAGGGCTTCTTCCGGCGGACGACCCGCATGAAGCTGGAGTACGAGAAGTGTGAGCGGAGCTGCAAGATCCAGAAGAAGAGCCGCAACAAGTGCCAGTACTGCCGCTTCCACAAGTGCCTGGCGCTGGGCATGTCACATAACGGTGAGAGCCCGCCGCCGGCACGGCCACCGGCCCACACAGGGTGAAGCCAGTCCCGGCGCATAAAGGGCGCCTCCGTGTGCCTGGCACGCCGTGGGCCCTGCTGTGCCCTCTGCTGACCTGGCTGATCTGGACCTGAGTCTCCGAGCCAGCGCAGCCCTAGCCCAAGATCTGCCTTCCCCAGACCGCCAGTATCCCCGTGGGGGCCAGGGCGGGCTGTCCCCACCTCTCTACCTGAGGCTCACCCTGTCTGGCCCAGACAGAGCAGGAACTGACCCCAGCTCCCAGAACCTCAAGCCTGGCACAGCATGGAAACCCCTGCGGAGGCCTGGGACCCCTCTGCCCTTCCTGGTTATTGAGGGCAGGCGGGAGCCAGTAAATGGCCACGTGTGCCAGCTGCCAGGAGCAGGCGGGCGTTTCCTGAAGGCCAGCCCCTCTGGGAGACAGCCTGCCCTGCCCTGTGCTCCAGGCTCCTGGCAGCTGGCACATCTCATCTTCAGACCCCATAGAGTAGGATTTTGCAGAGCCCACCTGCCCCCTCTACCCTCTGGGTCACACCCCCAAAGGACAGGGAGAGCCTCCTGTTTAAATGTCTCACCCATGGATGATGCACTGACTGCCTTGCATCTTTGAGGTGGGCAGTGTGAGTCTCCGGCTGCAGATTTTTTTAGGTGATGGGTTTGGGGGCCTGTGGTTTGACCCCTCCCCTCTGTATCTGCCTGGGCCCATTACGTGGCTGAAGTGAGGGGACTCCCCAAGAGATCTCCGTGCTGACTGATTCTTCTCGCTTTTTCTCTGAGAGAAGCCAGGTTTTTTTCCTGTTGTAATGAGGACAGTTAAGTGCTTACAGGGGGAATTATCTAACTGCTCTGACAGTCAGTGAGCTTTAAGTGTCGGCCCCGCTTCTCTGATTAGAAAGAAGACGAAGCGGCCCGTCTGTAGTCGCGAGGCAAGTAAGCTGCAGAGCTGGGGCTCGGGCACAGCCCGCTGACCAGACTTTCCACCTGCCACCCCGCACCCCTCCTGGCCGTGCGGCGAGGCGCTCCAAGAGTTAGGGCCTTTGTGTGTGGGCACTGAACAGGACAGACAGACAGACCCCTGCCCCTGGAGCTTACATTCGGGAGGGTCCCCCAACTGGCTGCCTCTAGAACTCCTCAGGCCTTTGGCCCATGCAGGGATGAGGAGGTTAGGGGTGCTGGCCCTGCATGGACTCCTCGATGACTCCTGCTCCCCATGCAGCCATCCGCTTTGGCCGGATGCCAGAGGCCGAGAAGAGGAAGCTGGTGGCAGGGCTGACGGCGAGTGAGGGGAGTCAGCACAACCCACAGGTGGCTGACCTGAAGGTCTTCTCCAAGCACATCTACAACGCCTACCTGAAAAACTTCAACATGACCAAGAAGAAGGCCCGCGGCATCCTCACCGGCAAGACCAGCCACACAGCGGTGAGTGTCACTGCTCGCACGGCAGCGTCCCTGGCTCAGGGCCCTGCCGCCCTCCAGACTCCTGGGAGAACTGGACCTCCTCCCTCCCCTAACTTCATGGTACAGGCAGGGAGTATGGGGAGCACATGTGGGGTCCCCGAGGCCTGGCCTCTAATGGGGCCTGGTTTTCAGCCCTTTGTGATCCACGACATCGAGACGCTGTGGCAGGCAGAGAAGGGCCTGGTGTGGAAGCAGCTGGTGAACGGCCTGCCGCCCTACAAGGAGATCAGCGTGCACGTCTTCTACCGCTGCCAGTGCACCACGGTGGAGACGGTGCGCGAGCTCACCGAGTTCGCCAAGAGCATCCCCAGCTTCGGCAACCTCTTCCTCAACGACCAGGTGACCCTTCTCAAGTACGGAGTGCACGAGGCCATCTTCGCCATGCTGGCCTCCATTGTCAACAAGGATGGGCTGCTGGTGGCCAATGGCACGGGGTTTGTCACCCGGGAGTTCCTGCGCAGCCTCCGCAAGCCCTTCAGTGATATCATCGAGCCCAAGTTCGAGTTTGCTGTCAAGTTCAATGCCCTGGAACTCGACGACAGTGACCTGGCTCTCTTCATCGCAGCCATCATTCTGTGCGGAGGTAAGCGAGGTCGGACACCGTGGGGAAGTGTGCGTGTGATGATGGCAGGGGAGCGTGTGAGGCACCGCTGTACGTGCAGGACCTGCTCCTCCTTAGATAGATGGAGATGAGATAGAAAAAGAACAAAGGGACGCATACCAACATGCTGATGGGGCTGTTTTCGGTGGTGGAGAATCTTCTGTATTTTACTGATACTTTTCAATTCCAACACAATAACTGTAATAATTACTATGCTGACACTGGCATAGAGCTTACTTCCTACCAGGCACTGTTCTAGTTCCCTTTCCCAAATTATAACTCATTTGGTCCTCACAGCCACCTGTGCACAGGTACTTCCGTTATCCCCAGTTTGCAGGTGAGGAAACGCGCCCAGAGAGGCTGAGCGACTTGCCCAGGCCTCACCGCTCACCTGGTAGAGCTGGGATGTGAATCCAGGCCGAGTAGCCATGAGACTAAACTGAGCCAGGAAAGCAAAGGAGGGGGGACTGTCCCTGGCAGGATGGGGTTCGGGTCTGTCACGGCCAGGAGGCCTGCTGTGCCCTGAGCCAGGCCCCCACGCTGGGTGGGTAGCGGCGCTCCTCCGCCACCTGAGACCCGTGCGTGCCTGCTCCCTCCCACATCTGGGCCCTGTGTCCCCACAGACCGGCCAGGCCTCATGAACGTGTCCCAGGTGGAGGCCATCCAGGACACCATCCTGCGTGCCCTCGAGTTCCACCTGCACGCCAACCACCCCGATGCCCAGTACCTCTTCCCCAAGCTGCTGCAGAAGATGGCTGACCTGCGGCAGCTGGTCACCGAGCATGCCCAGATGATGCAGCGGATCAAGAAGACGGAGACGGAGACCTCGCTGCACCCCCTGCTCCAGGAGATCTACAAGGACATGTACTGAGGTGCACGGCCAGGGCCTCCCAGCAGGCCTCGGGGCCGAGAACCGGGGCAGGGACAGCGCTGGACAGGCCACATGGGACTTCTCCGTTGGCCACAGGCGCACTCGGCATGGCGCCTGATCACACACTCCTGCGAACAGACCCACGCCTCGCTCCCCATGGTCCCTTCCTCCCTCTCTCCTTCTCCGTTCCTTGTTCTTTGCTCTTTCTCTTCCTTTCTAAGGGTTCCCTCTTCCTTCCTCCCTGGCCCTCCCTCTCCCCCATCCCCTGTCTGTCCCTCTGTCTTCCTGTGAGACAGTTGGTATTATCTCACCAGCAGCATAGGACAGGACTTCTGCTTTTGCCCCCCGGCCCCGGTGCAAAGGGAGTGGCCTGCCCTCTGCACCAGCCGTCTGCAGGGGCAGGGGCCTCACTGCTCTGTGCTCGCAGCAAGGCTGGAGCTGCCCAAAGGAACACTAAGCTCTGGGCCCGGCTTCCTGGGGAAGCCGAGCAGGACCTGGGCCAACCGCAGCAGTGGCCTTGGTCGCTGGGTCCCTGCCCTGAAGGCCAGGAGGCCTCCCTGAGACTGTCACGCACCCCACCCTGAGGCTGGCACCCCTGACCCAGCCAACCCCACTTCAGCCACGTACCCCAGCCCCACTCACACCAACATCCTTTTTGGTCTTTTCACCGGTCTTCCGGGCCAGTGTTGCTGATGGCCCCCTGCGCTGGCCGCTGCGGGACCTCCCCCAGCCTGGAAGGAGCTGGGTTCCCTGCAGGTGGGGGCCCCACACCCCCATGAAGAGGAGTGAGCCTCCAGGGAGGTGCAAGTTGGCAGGGAAGCAGTGAGCAGGCCTCAGGGTTGCCCTCCATCAGCACCCACCCTCCCCCCGGCCTGCAGCAGCCTCGCCACCTATATTCTGTCCACATGACAGCCCTTGCCTCTCCCCAGGGCCGGGACTGGCCTCACCCCCGATGACGTCCTATCTCCACCCAGGAGGCACTGGCACTGGCTCGAGCTCACTGCAGCTCATGCCACACACTCCTGGAGCCGCCGCTCCGCTGCACACCACAAGCACTGATTCACTTTATCTGCAGGTTCCACACACCCCCTTCTCTAGGCAGATGCATGCCCAGAGGGGCCTGCAGGTGGACGGGCAGGGCTGGGCTTGGTTCCAGGGCTGGCCACATCCTTGCGTGCCCTCGAGGTCAGCAGGGGAGTCCTGCTGTGTCAGCCCAGCACCTGCTCACGGGGAAGGTGCCAGGGATAAACTGGTCCTGTTGATGGAGACATCCATCTGTCCCCACAGCTCTGCTACCCTCCCTTCCCCTGTGTCAGCCCAGCTGGTCTCCTGGAACACCCTGCACAGCCCCTGGTGACGGGGACCTTGCCAGGCCACCCCACTCCCCGGCCCCTGCCCACTCCCCTCCACAGGGGCACTCAGTGGGCTGGCTAGGGTCTCGGAGAACCTGGTGCAGAGCCCAGGCTTCCTGGTCCTGTCTGCTCCTCCTTCAGGAGGGGCCTTGCTGTCCAGCTGCAGCTGTGGGAGGAAATGCCGTGGAGAGAGGACACAGCCAGTGCCTGCCCTGCCAGTGCTGTGGCCTTCCATGCCCAGGACCACTCCCTGCTGGCTTCCCTCTCCCCTCCTACCCTCGCTGACCGAGGTTTGGCCGAGGGGGCTCCCTTGGGCCAGCACTGTGAGGGAGCGGCGCTGTGCCCGACCTCCGCCTCCCCACCCCCTGCCCGCCCCCACTCCCAGCTCTAGTGCTGAGAACACAGCTCTTCTCAGTGTCTGAACAATCTCCAAAATGGAAATGTATATTTTTGCTAGGAGCCCCAGTTTCCTGTGTTTTTAATATAAATAGTGTACACAGACTGATGGAACTTTAAATAAATGGGAATTAAGTATTTAAGAGTTGACTTGGGCTGACTCAGTTCTCCGTGTTTTTCCTGGGGGCTGATCTGCTCCCCCTCCTCCATATCTGATGCACAGAGAGGAAGGAAACAGTTGGCCAATGAGACTTCGGGGTGCTGGCAGGGCCTGGCTTGTGGAGCTCCCTCTCACCCCCTCTGCTCGCCACTCGTCAGTCGACTAGGGTAGTGGGGGACTGAGAAGGTGCCATCCCTCCCTGCAGGGACTTTGGGGTGCGTGTGGAGGGGAAGGCACATCTGGAACTCAGCTGCTCCTGCCAGAAGTGCCGTCGGTTTGGCAGGGAGGGACAGTCTCCCTTCTGCCTGTCTTCCAGCCTGTTGACCAGGCCCTGGTCAGCCAAGGGGAGGATGGGATGGGGGAGGGAAAAGCAGCTGTAACGGAAGCTAAGGGTGTGGTTTGCAGGACCCTAGTCCCTGTAGCATAGAGGAGCAGGGGAAGAGCAAGGGCCAGCGGATAATGAGCATAAAGTACACCCCCGGCCAGAGGGGAGCGTCCCAGCCAGCCCACAGGTTAGGGTGGTGGTCGTCTTGCACTCGCCTCCCTGTGTCAGGCTGGCCAGCTGGCCAGAGCCATGTGACTCATCTCCGCTGGGAGTGACAGGCATGGGACTAGGCGGGGAGGAGGAAGGCTTGGAAGGGGTGTCCCTGAAATTGAGCGCCTGGTGCACGATGTCGTCTCCTCGTTTGCTTGGCTTATTCTCACCTCCTATCCTACACCAACGGGGGGGAGACAGTCAATGAGGACTGTGGCTCAGTGCAAAAGGCCAGTCCCCTCCCTGATGCTACCGAGGTAAGAGTACAGGACACCAATCAACTAGACCTCGCGCATCCAGAGGCGCAGGTCAGTCTCAGACCCAGTGTTCTGTTCCCGGCTTCGGGCGCTGCCAAGGGAGGGCCCCGTGTCACTCGGCCCCGTCACTCTCACTAGGGATGTTCTTCATTAAGCTTCTGTTGTGTGCCGGGCATTGTGCAATTCTCATCCGAGGCGAATATGACTTCCTGCTGCTTTACAGGTGAGGAAGCGCGACGAGAGTAGGGAGTGTGCCTGGCTCACTCAGCCAGCAAGTGGCATGGCCAGCGCGCCCGTCCAGGCCTTGGGAAGGGCATGGCCAGCACTGCCCCGTCCAGGCCTTGGGAAGGGCATGGCCAGCGCTGCCCCGTCCAGGCCTTGGGAAGGGCATGGCCAGCGCGCCCCGTCCAGGCCTTGGGAAGGGCATGGCCAGCACACCCCGTCCAGGCCTTGGGAAGGGCATGGCCAGCGCTGCCCCGTCCAGGCCTTGGGAAGGGCATGGCCAGCGCGCCCCGTCCAGGCCTTGGGAAGGGCATGGCCAGCACACCCCGTCCAGGCCTTGGGAAGGGCATGGCCGGCGCGCACCATCCAGGGCCTTAGGCTCTCTGCTTTTTACCCATGAACGAAACCTTGGGGATCATAGTTGGTCGCCTGGTCGTTGTTTTTTAATATATTATTGATCAGAGAGGGAGAGAGACAGAAACATCAATGATGAGAGAGAATCATTGATTGCCTGCTTACTGCATGCCCCACACTGGGGACTGAGCCCACAGCCCTGGCATGTGCCCTGATGGGAATCGAACCATGACCTCTTGGTTCATAAGTCAACGCTCAATCACTGAGCTATGCTAGCTGGGCACCTGGTCTATTTTTAATGATGCTCAGAACAAATGAATCAAATATTTAGACTAAAAAAGAAGAAAAAACTTTAAGAGAATTAGAAGATACTATCATTGCAATAATTTTATAAAATTCTCTGAAATAAAAATTAAAGAACAAGAGGAAGGAAGAAAGGAAGGGGAGGGAGGGAGAGAAAAGAAAGGGGCTCCAGGCTGGCAATATCCTTGAGGGTTCGGGGGGGCTTTAAGAAGCAGATGCAGCCTGACCGGTTTGGCTCAGTGGATAGAGCATCAGCCTGCAGACTGAAAGGTCCCAGGTTTGATTCTGGTCAAGGGCATGTACCTGGGTTGCGGGCACATTCCCAGTAAGGAGTGTGCAGGAGGCAGCTGATGGATGTTTCTCTCTCATCGATGTTTCTAACTCTCTATCCCTCTCCCTTCCTCTCTGTAAAAAATCAATAAAATATATTTTTAAAAAAAGAAGAAGCAGATGCAGCCTGGCCTGGGGGCTCAGTGGTCGGAGTGTCCTCCCATACACTGCAAAGTGGTGAGTTCAATTTCCAGTCAGGGTAAAAGTTTTGGGTTTGATCCCTGGTTGGGGCACATACGGGAGACAACCAGTTGATGTTTCTCTCTCTTTCTCTCCCTTCCTCCCTCTCTCTCCCCCCGCCCAAGAAAATAAATCAATAAAAACATCTTCAGATGAGGATTTTAAAAAAACAGATTAGCTATGGCTGGTGGGCTCAGTGGTTAGAGCGTTGTCCTGCATACCTAAGGGTCACAGGTTCGATTCCCAGTCAAGGGCACATATCTGGGTTGCAGGTTTGATCCCTGGCCCTGGTGGGGGCGAGTGCAGGAGGCAACCAGTAGATGCATCTTTCAGATCCATGTTTCTCTCTCCCCTCCCCTTCCTTCCACTCTCTCTAAAAGTCAGTGTGTGTTAGCCCTAGCTGGTTTGGCTCAGTGGATAGAGCGTCAGCCTGCAGACTGAGGGATCATGGGTTCAATCCAGTCAAGGGCACATGCCCAGGTTGTGGGCTCGATCTCCAGTAGGGGATGTAGGAGGCAGCCAATCAATGATTCTCTCTCATCATTGATGTTTCTATCTCTCTCCCTCTTCCTTCCTCTCTGAAATCAATAAAAAATATATTTAAAAAGAAATAAATAAAAGTCAGTGTATGTGTGGGGGTGGGGGAGAGATGTCCTTGAATGAGAATTAACAAAAATAATATTTTAAAAAAAACAGATTAGAAGCAGCCAAAGAGATCATTTTTGCACATCAAGAAAGACCAGAGAAATTACCCAGGAAATAATCCAGGAAAACCAAGATGGAAAATGTGGAATGGAAGAATAGCAATACAAATTCTCACAGTGCAAAGGGGAGCAGAAGCTGACACAAGCAACTTGAAAAACACTTAAGCAAAATCTAGTAAGTTAAAATGTGCCTGCGATGCTGTGGGCATCCCCCGGGTGCCAGCCCTCAGGACCCAGCATCGGCTGCTGAGTGACAGCTGAGTTCCTCTCAGGAAACTGCTCTTCCTGAAGGGAGCTGCCTTGCCCAGGATGAGCCCCCTTCCGGGGCAGCCTGTAGCCAGCATGGGGGCATGAGGACAAGCCTCCTTACTGCAGTTTGGAACAACTTAAAGGATCGCCCAGCCCCAGAGCTGAAGTATCTGTTGTAACTACATTGAAGTTCAGCTTCTCTCACTACCCAGTCCTGCTGCCTTCGATTCCTTCCAGGTGCTGTTCCAAAGAGCACTCCCCAGCGAGTGCCCTGCAGGTGAACCTCCAAATCCATTTCCTGGAGAAACCAACCCAAGACAATACCCTAGAGCAGCGGTTCTCAACCTGTGGGTCGCGACCCCTTTGGTGGTCGAACGACCCTTTCACAGGGGTCGCCTAAGACCATCCTGCATATCAGATATTTACATTACGATTCATAACAGTAGCAACATTACAGTTATGAAGTAGCCACGAAAATAATTTTATGGTTGGGTCACAAGATGAGGAACTGTATTTAAAGGGCCAGAAGGTTGAGAACCACTGCCCTAGAGTGAAACCCACCAAATTACATTCATTGAAGAATAGCAAAAACTTAGGAACAATCAAAATGTTCATCAACAGGACAATGGATAAACTTGATATATTATACAATATTTTTTTAAAAAAAAATAAGGAGCCGAAACCGGTTTGGCTCAGTGGATAGAGCCTGAAAGGTCCCAGGTTCGATTCCGGTCAAGGGCATGTACCTGGGTTGCGGGCACATCCCCAGTAGGAGATGTGCAGGAGGCAGCTGATCGATGTTTCTCTCTCATCGATGTTTCTGGCTCTCTATCTCTCTCCCTTCCTCTCTGTAAAAAATCAATAAAATATATTTTTAAAAAAAACAAGAAGAAACAAAATAGATGGAGAAAATTATATAATCTTGAAGTGGATAGAGCATTCAAAAGTCTACTGTAGCCCAGCAGGAGTGGTTCAGTGATTGAGCATCGACCTATGAACAGGAGGTCAGGATTCGATTCCCCATTAGGGCACATGCCTGGATTACAGGCTTGATCCCCAGTGGGAGGTGTGCAGGAGGCAGCCCATCAATGATTCTCTCTCATCATTGATATTTCTATCTCTCCCTCTCCCTTCCTCTCTGAAATTAATAAAAATATATACTTTAAAATAAAAAACTAACAAAGATCCCCCCCACCCCCCACTGTCTGCTCAATGTCACCTAGCAACAACAACAGCCCGAAAATGCCCCTTCCTTCCTTGTCCAAGGCTTGAAAAGGCGGGAGCAGTTTTTTTATTCCTTGTCTTTGTATTGATTAGCAATGCACTGGCCCTTTCTCTCTACGTGTATCTCTTCTTTTAGTTGTGAATTCTTTCACAGCCGGTGTCACCAGCCCAAAATAACCCTAACACTACGAGATACAGATTTTTACTCACCAGACTAACAAATACTAAGACGTTCGGTAGCTGTGCTGCGAGGCTGTGCAGGAACAGGCTCCCTCATGCCATTGGTGGGAGTACAAACCGGCACAGCCTCATAGGCAGCACACGGGCAGCACCTGTGACAAAATTTTAAATAACTGTGATCCAGCAAAAGTTAAAGAAGTAACTAGATGTTCGAGACTATTGGTTTCCCAATCTAGTGTCTCAGTTTATCGATAAATATAGGAAGTTGTTTAAATTCAATTTTAAAATCTCTAATTATTTATTTATTTACTTAGTTTTTAATCCTCACCCGAGGATATTTTCCCATTGATTTTTAGAGAGAGGGAAAAACAGAGAGAAACATCATTGTGAGAGAAACACATTGATTGGTTGCCTCCTGCACTAGACCTGACCAGGGCCCCGGGCT